CACACACACACATATATATATATATACATATACAATATATATATTAAAATTTACTATTAAATATATATATATATATATATATATATAAACTGACATTTACACATGTAAAAAATTTTTTACAAAATCCACAAAAAAATGTGTGGATAGGGTGGGTTACATTAAAATACAGATTTTTTCATCAGTATTGAACAATACATGACAATAAATCACAGCCGATGCACACAAATAATATTATCCACGGATGTAAGGAAAACAACTTACGCTTGATCTCTTTTGTAGAGCCGATTACTGCAAACTCACGCGCATCTAATGAATAACAACTATAAAACACGTCCCCATTGATCTCTTCACAGCGGCTTTAAAGCTGATCAATGCTTATGATCATCTGTACATATATTGATGAGTAGATTCTTTCAAAACGGCCCAGAGGCGCGCCAAAGTTCACGATACGGAGAAATTGAAAGACGCTGATTGGCTAGTGTAGATGACGTCAGGAAGCTCCCATAATGCTCCTCGTGATAATGTCCATATCGAGCGGCCATCTTGATGAGGACATTACCCTTCCGGTTTTTTCAGTGAAATGTTTATTAAAAAGCCACATATCAAATGCCGGTGAAGTACACATATAAAGATAGAAAAATGTGTTTTTTACGTTATTCTAATTACCAGTAGTCTCAATGATATTTATAGAATATCATTAATGTTATAAAATGCTTAAACCAAGTTTATTTGAGAGTAACAGGTGTTACTATTATTAATTAATGAGACTCACGCGTTGATAATCATGTACTTCATTTCCTTTTTCTTGAAAGTGTATTTACGAAGCCTGCGATACTGAATGGAAGCTTTGAAGCATACAGTTTTGGAGTGAATTTGAGGAATACTGTTGAGTCTATATGGAATATGGTACTGAAGTATATTGCTGAAGTATGTATATTTTGTATCTCTCACCTAAGTTTGCGTTTGCTTGCAGTGCTGAGTTTAATCAGTTGCAGCAGCAGGAAGGAGAAACTAGGCTCAAAGATTCCAGTTAACTTCACAACCTCTTCAGTGTTGAGCTCAGAAGAGGAAGAACTATCTGAAGCCTCGTGGAGTTCTTCAGGTCTGTCCGAGTCTTCTGGCATCAATATCTGTCAACATTCAACAAAGAGAACAATGTATTTGTAGAGAACAATTATTGTTGTTGTTATTCTTATTAGTATATAAGGGACTTACAAATGAGAAATAATTACTGTTAATAATAATAATAAACAAAATCTTAAACAAAAATAATAAAATAAATAAGACACTTTTGTCCAAGGGAGAAATGGTGATGGTGATGATGAGGATGATCGTTATTATTATCGTTATTATCTTTATAGACACATACATGCAAAGGAACAAATTAGAAATTATTATTATTACTAATAATAGTGATGATAAATATTAGCCTTAATATAATACACTTTTATCCAAGAGGCTTTTATCCAATAATTATTTATTATTATTATTGATATTAATTAATAATAATTCATTTAATAATAAAAAGACACTTTTGCCCAAGGAACTTACAAATGAGAAATCATTATTGTTAATAATAAAAACATGGATAATAATAAACAAAAATATAAGACACTTCATAAAAGACACTTTTGTCCAAGGGAGAAATAATAATGATGATGATGATGATGAGGAGGATTATTATTATTATTGATCAAATAAAACTAATATAATAACCTTTATATTTTCGTGCAAGGGACTAACAACTGAGAAATTATTATTATTATACTACTAATAATAATAGTAATGATAATAAATATATTATATAATATAAATATAATAATAATTTATTCAAGGGACTTATAAATGAGAAAGTATTATTGAATATCATTATCATTATCATTTTGTTGTAATAATAATAGTAATAATACATCTTATATAATACTTTATTTAATAAATATTAACATATCTTAATATAATAACCTTCATACAATGTACTTTAACCAAGGGACTAACAAATGAGAAAGTATTATTATTATTATTTATGATCATAATGCATATTAACAATCTTAATAAAATAACCTTAATATAAGACTCTTATCCAAGGGACATATAAATTAGAAACTATATTATTATTATTATAATACCTTTTCCTGTTGCTCCAGCAGCTCTTTATGGATGAGTTTGAAAGCGTGACGTGTTTCACACATGATCTCTAGAGCTCCTGTCAGAGTTTTCAGTTTCACAGCACTGCTGTTCTGACCTGGAAAACACAATAAAACATCCGATAAGAGCTTTACTCGTGTCCCATCAGCCTCTCCCAGCTGATAGTTCCTGCAGTGTGTGTTTCTCACCTGCCATGGTGAACTCAGCGAAGGCCACTCTCTCCAGAAGCGTGCGGAGCAGCTCGCACGGGGCTTCACTCAGACTTATGAAGAGCCGCACAGCCTTACTGTAATGCTGCTCTGCCAGAGCTTTGTGCTGCTTACGGACGCTCTCGTCTCCAACCTGACAGAGAGAACAAACCATGTTAAGTCTTACTGTATATGTTGAAGATGAAGGTGTAGACTCTTCCTCTGCAGGTGGCTGATGCTGTACCTGGTTGCGGTAGCAGCTGTGGTACATGGAAGCCAGTCTGTGGTGGATAGTGGCTGCTCTGTACTGGTAGAGTGGCTGGCGAGCGGACTCCGTCTGCAGGTCGCAGTACCTCAGGGACTTCATCATGGACTCGGTGACTTCCCTCTCGATCTGAAACACAGTGCGCTCATGTCAAGTGGAGTTCATTATTTCAGCAGTGTGTACGGACAGAATAAAGTGTGTGTGTGTGTGTGTGTACCTGCTCCTGTGCTTTACGGGACAGCGGCGCGTAGTCCTGGAGGAGTGTGGCCAGTGTGAAATATGTTGTAGAGAGTTCCCAGTTTACAGAGTCCCAGACGGCTGAGTGACCCTCCCTGCAACCCAGAGACTTCAGCGCCCGCTGATAGTAATCTATCGCCTATTGATGGAGAGAGAGAGAGAGACGGCTACTGTGATGCAGCTACAGCACAAGGACCCTCTTCCTAGTCTTATTATGAATGATGTATTACATTTAAATGAATTAATTTATCCAAGGGACTTAAAACTCAGACATGTATTACTACTACTACTACTACTAAATATTAGCATAATAATAATAATAATTATTATTATTGTTGTATCTTGATATAAAAATCTTAATATAAGACACTCCTATCCAAGGGATAAACAAATTAGGACAATGATGATTATCATTAAATATTAACCATCTTAAAATAATAATCTTAAAGGGTTAGTTCACCTAAAAATGAAAATTCTGTCATTAAAGGAACACTCCACTATTTTTGAAAATAGGCTCATTTTCCAACTCCCCTAGAGCTGAACAGTTGAGTTTTACCGTTGTCGAATCCATTCAGCCGATCTCCGGGTCTGGCGGTAGCACTTTTAGCTGTAGCTTAGCATAGATCATTGAATCGGATTAGACCGTTAGCATCTCGCTCAAAAATGACCAAAGAGTTTCAATATTTTTCCTATTTAAAACTTGACTCTTCTGTAGTTACATCGTGTACTAAGACCGACGGAAAATGAAAAGTTGCGATTTTCTAGGCCGATATGGCTAGGAACTATACTCTCATTCCGGTGTAATAATCAAGGAACTTTGCTGCCGTACCATGGGTGCAGCAGGTGCAATGATATTACGCAGCGCCTGAAAATAGTCCCCAGTACGTTCCCTGTGCAAGCAGGTGGTCACGTTGGTTATGTTGACGGAAGTTAGCCTATTTTCAGGCGCTGCGTAATATCATTGCAAAACGTATCACGAAGCTACGAGAATACTTTTTTGCGCAAAGAAAACAAAAATAACGACTTTATTCCACATTTTCGTCTCTACTGCGTCACTTTGGACGCGCGTTCACAACAGTATCATGACACGAGCGATCATGACTTTTCTGGACCTTGAACGTCGTGGTAGTTACCTTGCTGTCTATGGGAGTTGTCAGAGAGCCCTCAAATTTCATCAAAAATATCTTAAATTGTGTTCCAAAGATGAACAACGGTCTTACGGGTTTGGAACAACACGAGGGTGAGTAATTAATGACAGAATTTTCATTTTTGGGTGAACTAACCCTTTAACACTAGACAGTTGTATCCACTTTGTATCCATCTACAAGAAAAATTTATAATAAGAAGAATGAATGAGAATAATCATAATAAATACTATTATTTATTATTTCTATAAATAATAATAATAGTGATTTCCTGTTTGCAGATGGAAAAAAGTATAATTACAGTGGGTACGGAAAGTATTCAGACCCCCTTACATTTAAGAGTGAAAAATTTAAGGGGGTCTGAATACTTTCCGTACCCACTGTATATCGTTATTATTGTTATTATTACTATTATTATTTTTATTAATATAATCCTCTTAATGACACTATCCACTTTTTATCTATCTACAAGAAAATAATAATAATTATTGTTATTACATAATCACAATAATTATAATATAATTGTATTATTATTATTATTTCTCATTTGTAGATGGATAAAAATGTCTTAAATTACATATTTAATATAATATTGATTATGAGAATTGTTATTAAATATTTTTTATTATAATTATATAATATAATTACTCCAACAGTCTTAATATTATAATCTTACCCAAGAAAAAAATTCTTATTAATATTGTTATTATTATCATTAATAAATATTAATGATCTTTATATAATAATCTTAATAAAAGACACTTTAATCAAAGGGATAAAAAAATGAGAAAGTATTATTATAGTAATATTGTTTCTCTTGTAGATAAAACATCTTATATTAAGATGACTATATTAAGATAATATTTAATAATATAATAATTTCTTACTTGTATATCCCTTGGGTAAGTGTCACACATTAAGATGATTATATGTCAATAATAATATGTTAATAATAACAATAATAATGGGACACTTCATGTCCATGTACAAGATAAATTAATATAATTTATAAAATAAAAACTATTATCATTATCACCATTACAATCATTATTATTACAACAACCGGCAAATCAAAATGTGCATTTCAGAAGCTATTAAACATCTTAAAAGTTCAAGTACAGTTCAAGACCGTATGTGTGATAATGATGAACCTTGTTGTAGTAGAGGGCCTCTTCCGGTGAGAACTCGCCGCGGCTGTGCTCTGATGTTGTGACGCAGTGAGCCTGAGCGCAGATACGCATGAGTCGACCGATGTTACACAGCAGCAGGGCTGTGTTCACAGAGTCTGAAATCGCATTGAAATCCTGCATGCCCTTCTCAAAACACGAGAAACTTTTCTTCCACAGCTCCTGCTCGGCCACGCACACGCTCCTGCGCACTGGAGAAGAAAAAGCGATACTTCACAAACAACTTTCGACAAACCACCCCAAATGTTTGATGTTAAAGTCTAATAGAAACCCAAGAAGCCCTCACCTCCTTGTTTTTCCGCCTGCATGGCCGCGGCCTGGTTCATATAAAAGACGCCCATCTCGTTGCGGATGTTACCGAGCCGTTTCAGAACCTGACCCAGCTGCTCCTGTCCCAGGTCCTTCAGAACTCCTGACGTCAAAAGGTCATGGGCAGCCTCGTAACACTTGCTGCTGACAATCAGCTGGTACTCTGGGTCTGAGGCCAGATCAGTGGCCATGCTAAAGGCTGAGAGAGCAAAAAACAAATGTCAATATTGAAATGTTTTAAGACACTGTCTCTTCCTGGAGTTTTAATATCCAATCCACATCCTAAGCACAGTGAAATTTCACTGCTCCAAAATCCCATTCCACATCGGTGTTGCAGTAATTACAGTAGCTGCTACCATAATGCACAATATAGTATGATTTCTTCAGCACAAAGAGCGCGTGATGTAGCGTTCGTTCAGACCTTGGCAGGAGCTCTCGCGGTGCAGGCAGTGGAGGATCTCCTGGTCGTCTTTAGTCTGGTAGTTGTATTCCTCCAGATACGCTGCTCTGTTTGAGGCATTCTGGGCCAACATGAGCTGAACATCTCCACACAGAGACAGACACTGGCAGTGGAATAGAAGCACCTGCGGGTGGAGACCACCACTGATGGAGCAATACCCATCTATAGGGACAGAGAAAGCATATATCGATCAAGTTTGAACAGATAAGCGCTAAAGAAGCTGCGTAATTAACAGTCTTTAATTATATATTTGTAACTTCCTGTTTTAATGAGAACATATCATGCACATGTGTAGAATATTCACATTCAATATTCATGTTCAAAAGTTTTGAGGTCAGTAAGATATTTTTAATGTTCCTGAAACAAGACTTTTATGCTCAGCAAGGCTGCATTTATTTTATTAAAAGTACAGTAATATTATAAAATATTATTACAATTTGAAATAATTGTTTTCTGTATTTGAATTTTGAAAATATATTTGAAAATATATTAAAATGTATTTTACTCCTGTGATGCAAAGCTGAATTTTCAGCATCATTACTCCAATCTTCAGTCTCACATGATCCTTCAGAAATCATTCTAATAAGCTGATTTGCTGCTCAAGAAACATTTTGAATGACAATATATGTCCTGAGGTTTTTTGACAACACTGAAAGCTGCTTGTTCTTACCGTGGCACTGCAGAGCCAGTTTGATATAGCGCAGGGCCCGTCCGTACTTCAGCAGGTTGGTTGCAGCATCTGACAGGACGAAGTACGCTTTCGACGCTTTCAGGAACAGCTGCAGTTTCATGCGGTGCTGCCATGTGCCCGGTAACATACCAGAGCGTGTCATCACCTTCAGCTCCTCGTTACACGGCCCAACTGTGTGACCCAAGATGAAGATGAACACTGTACATAATCAAATAGTGGAAGAAGAAACAGTTTCTGAGGAAGTGAATGGATGAGGTGACTGACCTCTGTCCAGCAGCAGAGCGATCTCTTTCTCCACGTCTCTAGCTCCTTTCTGACTCCGCTCCTCGTATTTTAGAGGGATAGGTGTGCTGGGGTCGGCCGCAGGAAGGTCACTCTCTTTCTTTATGCTGTTGTCCACGGCTTTTAAACCCTAAACACACAGATGAGGTTTTGCATTAGTGTTTTTTGGATGGATGGATGGATGGATGGATAGGTCACTCTATGCTGTTGTCCACGGCTTTTAAACCCTAAACACACAGATGAGGTTTTGCATTAGTGTTTTTTGGATGGATGGATGGATGGATGGATGGACGGACGGATGGA